TTCTGTGTCTTTCTTTCAAAGCCTGCAGTTGAGTTGTATTCCATTTATCAAAAAGGACACGTCACCAGTTCCTGCTTTAGGGTGGCTCCATCCTCTTGTAGGGTTCCATGGAGCCACCTCTGTGTGTACACTCCCTGCGCTGGGACTACAACCGAGTGCCTGTACACACATGCATAGAGCACAACAAGCCTATACCAGCAGGCTACTCCCATGCCCCTCCCTCCTCCTAGCAGGTTGATTGACAGCCACCTGAGCCTGTACTGTCCAATTGCCTAGTCATCTGTTTCATGCTCAGGGTGCGTGGCATTCCTTCCCTGAAAGGTCATGAAGCATTGAAGAGCAATGTGAAGCCGGTGGCTGTGAACAGATCAAAAAATTAGGGTTGGGTAAAAATATAAAATAAACAATGTACTGCGGAATGATTCACTTCTTGAACAGAGTTTAGTCATTCAATACAAAGTGAACATTTAATACTCCTTTAGGCCTCATTCACACGTAGCGATTTATTGCGCATTTTTGCCGCGCGATATCGCGAGAAGTCGCCGGCTAATGATATTCAATGGAGCTGTCTTAGCTCCATGTCGTGCGTCGCTTCTACAGGACCCTTTTTTTCGGCGGATTTTGCGCCATTTTGCTTTTTTCTAATGGAGCCCGACGGAGAAGGTCGCGCTACCGTCACTGGATCTAATTGTCTGATACTCTGCAGAACAAATAAATCTGCATGCACATATTCAGATGAATCAAAGGATTGGAGAATAGAAGGTACTCTTGATTCCAGCTGTAAATCTCCAACCAAGCTGATCAATTTTTCTCCTAAAGCTGCCCATACACTGCTAGTGTTTTTTTCCTCATTCAGCCCCATGGGAGCTAAACAGCATGGATAGGGGATTAGCACCTGCTGGATATTGTATTCTGACAGCCAGTAACTGCAGCTGTCAGAACATCCGCACAGCGTCTTCTGCTGATTGGCTGCAATCCTTTTTCGACCTACAATTTTCCAATTGAAAAAGCTGATTGAAGAATTGACTTTTGTCTAATGGAGCGGTGCCCACGTGGCCACACACTGATTAAAGTAACATTAAACCCTCAGATTTTTTAACATAAACCAATACTGTAATGTGTGCCTTACTGTAATCCATGGTAGTTTCCCTTCTCTTTGCTGCTCTTCCTTTTAAATCCGTCTCTCTTCTCATGCTGGGGGAGAACTTCCCTTTGCAGCTGAGTGCCTCTTCCTGTAGTGCTGGCTCAGGTTGTGAACCTTCACACAGACACCATGTATCCATTTCAGAGACAAGGCAGTCTGCTGCAAAACAGAAGTTCTGCCCAGCATGAGAAGAGAGACGGATTTAAAAGGAAGAGCAGCAAAGAGAAGGGAAACAACCATGGATTACAGTAAGGCGCACATTACAGTATTGGTTTATGTAAAAAATCTGAGGGTTTAATGTCACTTTAAATTTCAGTCAATTCAGCAGGACTTGCCTGAAATCTAAGCAGTGTATGGCCATCGTATGAAAAGGGTCAGAGGAGAATGCATAGATCACAGAGCTCTTATAGACATGAAGGGTTTCCTAATCAGAACACAGTAAGGGCTCATTCACACGGGTCCGTACACTAAAACGCCGGTCGGGGGGAGGAGGATGTGATACACAATTTGAATGCATCGCATTGGTTTTTTTTTCTTTACTTTATTTGGTGCATAGAAAGTGTACACTCCATTCAGGTCTTCACAGAAAGCGCGGTGTGCTGCACTGACCTGCGCTGTGACCCAGCAGGTCTGCATGTTTTTCACATCACACCCACGTTGTAGTGTGAATGGGGCACAGGCAAAGCAATTGTTTTCTATTTGCTGCGCTTGCAGTGACTAGTGTTGCTCGGTAACTGAAGAACTCGTCACCACTATGGTTGTGAATGAGCCCTTGATCAGTGAATGGGACTTTCACCAAACATTCTCTGGAGAATCAATCACAAGCACCTTTGGAAGGTTCACCTGCAGAGAATGTTTGTTGCTTGTCAGATTCTCTGGGTTATAAACATGCCCCTTAGTGACAGCTATTGCAAGGCCGACTGTAGAGAGATCACGTCATACATCTCTACCGCCGTCATCACTACACCTGACAATGCAGCTCGATTCCTGACGTCACCTCAAGCCAATCACTGGCCTAGCTACATCCAGCACGTGGGATTTACAGACCTATCATGCCCTGGAATGTCCAGCCTGTGGCGTTAACCCTTTCTATCGCGTTGCTCGGCTGCGGCGACATAAATGGAAAGTTAGTTAAATGTACAGACACAAGCCCCTCCCTCCCACAGACACTCAAGCGTCTTCAGCTTGCTATCCAACCTCGAATCAGCGGCGTATCCAATGTGTGCGTTGATATCTGAGCCTTCACCAATGAGCGTGCAGCAAGGTGGTTTTCCCTGAATTGATAGGCTGTCACATAGGCGCTGGTCCGATGGGGAGGCTGTGGCTATCACTGACCACGCCCTTAGCAGCAGGGACCTAGGCAGCCCCAGTAGACCTCACCCGCCCCGCCCGGGGAGCTCTCATTGTATCCGCTTCCAGTGAGCTCTGACTCACCTCCTGCTCTCATTACTAGACAGCCCGCTCCTATCTATAACACGCCGAGCAAGCGGCTCCTGGTCTTCATGTATATACATTTACCAGTGCTGTATTACAATGCAAGTACTGACATATTGGAACTGGTCATACATGGGCCAAATTACAATGCAAGTACTGACTTATTGGAACTGGTCACACATGGGCCAAATTACAATGCAAGTACTGACCTATTAGAACTGGTCACACATGGGCCAAATTACAATGCAAGTACTGACCTATTAGAACTGGTCACACATGGGCCAAATTACAATGCAAGTACTGACCTATTAGAACTGGTCACACATGGGCCAAATTACAATGCAAGTACTGACCTATTGGAACTGGTCACACATGGGCCAAATTACAATGCGAGTACTGACCTATTGGAACTGGTCACACATGGGCCAAATTACAATGCAAGTACTGACCTATTAGAACTGGTCACACATGATCCAAATTACAATGCAAGTACTGACCTATTGGAACTGGTCATACATGGTCCAATCTGCTACAATCTCATCAAACGATTATAAACAATGAGCTCATCTCATAACATTGTGTCATTACATTGGAATGTAAGGTAGAAGAAAAGGGTCACAGGTTATTTGTCTCCAATGACAGGTCAGCTGATACCTGAAATTGTTTCATGTACCCATCAGTGGATGTTATTCATTCTGATTGATGGCTGACTCTGGGCAGCTAAATCACTGGCTCTATACTGACTGAAATAGAGACTCAGATGTGATCACTGGGGTCCCGTGTGTCCCCCCATTCTCAGATCTGACCCCTGGGGTCCTGTGTGTCCCATTCTAAGATCTGATCACTGGGGTCCTGTGTGTCCCCCATTCTCAGATGTGATCCCTGATACAATGCAAGTACTGACCTATTAGAACTGGTCACACATGGGCCAAATTACAATGCAAGTACTGACCTATTAGAACTGGTCACACATGGGCCAAATTACAATGCGAGTACTGACCTATTGGAACTGGTCACACATGGGCCAAATTACAATGCGAGTACTGACCTATTGGAACTGGTCACACATGGGCCAAATTACAATGCAAGTACTGACCTATTAGAACTGGTCACACATGATCCAAATTACAATGCAAGTACTGACCTATTGGAACTGGTCATACATGGTCCAATCTGCTACAATCTCATCAAACGATTATAAACAATGAGCTCATCTCATAACATTGTGTCATTACATTGGAATGTAAGGTAGAAGAAAAGGGTCACAGGTTATTTGTCTCCAATGACAGGTCAGCTGATACCTGAAATTGTTTCATGTACCCATCAGTGGATGTTATTCATTCTGATTGATGGCTGACTCTGGGCAGCTAAATCACTGGCTCTATACTGACTGAAATAGAGACTCAGATGTGATCACTGGGGTCCCGTGTGTCCCCCCATTCTCAGATCTGACCCCTGGGGTCCTGTGTGTCCCATTCTAAGATCTGATCACTGGGGTCCTGTGTGTCCCCCATTCTCAGATGTGATCCCTGGTGTCCTGTGTCCCCCCCATTCTCAGATGTGATCCCTGGTGTCCTGTGTCCCCCCCATTCTCAGATCTGATCCCTGGACTCCTGTGTCTCCCCATTGTAAGATCTGATCACTGGGGTCCTGTGTGTCCCCATTCTGAGATGTGATCACTGGTGTCCTATGTATCCCCATTCTCAGATGTGATCACTGTTGTCCTGTGTCTCCCCCCATTCTCAGATGTGATCACTGTTGTCCTGTGTCTCCCCCCATTCTCAGATGTGATCACTGGGGTCCTGTGTGTCCCCATTCTCAGATGTGATCACTGGGGTCCCGTGTGCCCCCCATTCTCAGATGTGTTCACTGTTGTCCTGTGTCCCCCACATTCTCAGATGTGATTCTTGTTGTCCTGTGTCACTCCCCATTCTCAGATGTGATCACTGGGGGCCTGTGTGTCCTCATTCTCAGATGTGATCACTGGTGTCTCCCCATTCTCAGATGTGATCACTGGTGTTCTGTGCATCATAATGCTCAGATATGATCACTGGGGTCCTGTGTCCCCCCATTCTCAGATGTGATCACTGGGGTCCTGTGTGTGTCCACATTCTAAGATCTAATCACTGGTGTCCTGTGTGTCCCCATGCTGACATTTGATCACTGGTGTCCCCATGGTGACATTTGATCACCGCCCCCTCCCCCTGTGAGTCAGAAAGGAGTGGAGTGTGTCCTTATCTCTGCCCCCTGTGATCTCATCGCTGACACACATCTCCCTGTCCCGGTGACTGTAGTTCTGATGTCCTATCCTTCAGCAGTCTCCATGCAGCATTCCTCCTCGGATACTATCTCCTCCTGTGATCGGAGTGCGGCCTCCTCCTCCTCCCGCACACATCACAGTGCCCTCCCCCTCCTCCTCCCCGCTGCTCTCTGATTCCTCTCTCCTCCCCCCGGGGGTTGGTGGATCAGTTTTTGTACCGCGATCTCCGGCTTCTCTTCTCCCCGGTGTGCTCCTGTCTTGTCCCCTGGCTGCCATCACCCGATGGGCTTGTCCCCTAGCAGTAGACTGTCCGCTTTGGAGCTCCTCTGAGAGTCGACGCCGCCTTCCGTACCCCCCGGCACCATGAGGTCGATGTTCCGGAGGTTCCTGCGGGTATCTAACCGATCCATCCTCGCCTTCATCTTCTTCTTCTCGCTCTCATCCTCCTGCCTCTATTTCATCTATGTGGCCCCCGGCATAGGTAAGTGAAGGGCCCGCATGGGCTCCGATGGCTCCAAGGTGTGGAGGGGGGTTCCATTCCACTTGCAACAGGGCCCTGCCTGCCACTCCTTGCCCTACCAGGCAGACTGGTATGATAGGCAGCATGGCATTGGTGCGGCCGCCTGTGTCACCCCCTGCCATGGCATGGATCATTGGATGTGTGTGTGTACTGACATTACATAGACACACAGCCATGATCCATCAGTCATACAATGATCAGGTATGTTCTGACAGGGGATGAAGCAACATCACACAGGCCATCCACAGAGAATGGGATGTAATGATCTCTTCCTGTACTGCACATCAGGGGACACTTCATTCACAGCCAAGGTGAATTAGAATGCAGCCACAGCAGGCAGTTAGTTGAATTGTTGCTTCTCCCGGTCAGATCTGCTGTCTGCCATGTCTGGTACTTCGAATGGCACGCCACTTATTATAGAATAGATAGAAGTGAGCATCACATGTGTCATCAGGTTCAGCTCTGAGCGCCCATTTCATGTGCATCGTCCCCGCATTGTGATCTGCGCTATTTGGGGTTTTCGGTCATGTCTGTGTTGGTTTTGGGTAATAGTGGAGTAGCAGATTTGGTTGCCATGTTTGGAGGAAAACATAAGCTGCGTAGACGCAAGAGCCAGAAGTTTGGCTTTCGTTTTCTGCTGCCAGGCGGGTTGGCATTTCTTATTCCTGGAGTCAGCAAAGTTGACTTCTTCCACTGTTCAGTCGGCAAGAGCTGGTCAATGGACCTCCAGGATGGATGCGGGTTCATGTATGCAGTGATCAGGCATCCTGGCCATAGCTGTGCCTCCACCGCCTGTGTCTGACCAGACCTGGCAAGATGTGGCTAGTAGGTGTTCAAGGCAAATGGCTTCCGGACAGATTCATTGAACCTGGACAGAAGAAAATGTGCACAACATTAGAACTATTCCCTATAGCAACCCGTCAAAATTGAGCACAATTGGAGCTGTCTCCTATAGCAACCAATCCTAATTGAGCACAATTGGAGCTGTCCCCTACAGCAACCAATGAAAATGAGCCCAAAACTGGAGCTATTTCTTAAAGCATCCAATCAAATGAGCACACAACTGGAGCAGTTCCCTAGAGCAGCCAATCAGGTTTCATCTGTCATTTTATAGGGAAATGACCCAAGAATTCTACTCGGTCACTATGGGCAACAAGTCAAATTTCGCCCTGGAATAGGATTCTTGATTCGTTTCTGTGTATGATGAAAGGTGAACCCTGATGGGGGAATTGGCTCCAGTTTCTTTTAATGGATCATCCGCTTTGTTTGCTTTTTGGTTATCTTGAAGGAAGTTAGAAATGACTTTTGTGTGTGGAAATAAGTCATCTGCTGGTCATGTGCTCCTGACTTGCAGCGAGCATCGGTAGTGACGATCACATGTTGAAGTAGTAGATAAATGAGCAACAACCAGTGCTCATTTGTGACTAAAGTCTTTGGCATTGGTGGCAGAGAATTGCCGGCATGCTTTGCACATCACTGCGGGTCTAATATATGACTAGTGTGCTGTAGGAAACATTTCTCGTTTCCCATAGCAACCAGCGGAATCCATCTTTTAGTTCTGCAGCACTGGATTGAATATGAAACAAGGACTCTGGTTGCTAAGGGCAACGACTTTTCATATATTATGACTATTCAGCAAAATGGTTCTTGGGGTGAAGCACCCTTGTTGGAGCTCAGAACTGAACTTGCAAAAGATCTGCTGATGTACTGGCGATCTTTGGCTCATTCTAGTGATATTTGTCTTTTAGAAGTCATGAAAGGATATAGATGGCAGTGTATCATTGGTTACCGGGTGAAAGCAGCAGTCTTGCAAGTATATTCATTAGGATGCTGCCCATCGAGTCCCGAGGTGCCACAAGCCTCATTTATTTACTGTTGCCGGTAGCAACATGCCAAAATCCTTGTTTCATTTTAAAACGGGAGTGCAGAAATATGTCTGTTGTATATGCATTGGCTGCTATGGGCAGCTAGAAATGTTTCCTAAAGCAGTTTTTTCATTCATAAGTTTCATTCATACATTTTTGTTGCCCAATCGATTGACTGCCAGCTGTCAGATTTGCAGTCCCAAGTCTGAAAATAATGGCGGGCTTGATCCAAACTGGAGCAGTTGCCCATAACAGCCAATCAGCTTTTCTCTTCAGTTTGTTTAGTAAAGCTTTGAAAATGAACAATGGAATGCTGATTGGTTGCCGTGCACAGCCTTGATAAATCACCCACAATTATTCTAATTGGTTGCCAGTGGCCACAAGTTTATTTTCTATTGGCTCACTGTATCAACCCCCTAAGGCAGGAGCGAGCCCATCCAGCCCTTCAGCTGTTGTGGAACTACAAGTCCCATGAGGCGGTAAAAAAAACGCTCGTAAAACACGCGTTTCCGAGGGCTACTTGGCTGTATCCCAATGGAAACGCCCGACCAAAACGCCCCAAAGAAGTACATGTACTTCTTTGGGCGTAGGGCGGTTTCCCACGCGTTCATACTCACGGAAAACCGCCCAGATGGGAACCGTGCACATTGAAAATAATGGCATTTCCCTGTTTGAGCGTTTTTCCGCGAGTACGAAAGCGCGGAAAAACGCCCAGGTGTGAACCCAGCCTTACAGGCACGATTTGTAGTTAAAGCACAGCTAGAGGGCCGGAGTTACTCGCCCCTGCCCTAAGGGGTGGACAAATTATTATTAAATTCAGGAGCCAGTCTGTCCAATCCAGGAGCCAGCAGGATTTTCTAGGAGTCAGCTCTATTGACAACAACTAGAGAATTCCTCAAAAGTTAAGCGCCGGCTATAATTTTTGAGGAACACTGGTGACCTGGCTCCCGGGATTTGTCCAGCTCTGCCCTAAGAGCCCATTCACATTAATGCGCTGCATCGTGGTGTGTTACCATGCAGTTAAGGCAACAAATTCGCAGCTTTTAACAAAACCTGCAGCTGTTTTGTCATTGCAGAGCACCACAACTCAGTCTCAGACAGCATACGTAGTGCCCCCCAAAAAATAACAATCAAATTGTTCCTCATATTCCCTCCATTGGGAGGAAAAATATAAGGATCTGTCAGGCTGCTGGGAACATGAAACACTGTTTGGGACAACGATTGACGTTCAGACTCTTGAAGTATAAGACCCGGTGCGTCCTATTTTTATGTAGCAGTTGTATTTCCAGCTGTCTCATATCACGTTTTTACGGCTTAAACAAATTCTATTTTTCTCTTTAAAAAATTTTGAACACTTTTTTCTTTTTTTCCCCCTTTGTTTTGTTATTCACGTCTTTCAATCCCAGTCCAGAAAAATGTCCTGGAGGCCTCTAATTACAGGAGCTTGTAAATAATCTTTATTATATAATTACCCGCAGCCCTGAAAAGAGTGCCTGTTACTAGAGGACAGTCAGGTCTGGCAAATGCTATTCTAGCAACATCTTCCTGCCATTAGTTCTTCTTCTTTTACTGTAAATTCTACCCATAAAACAAGGAGTGGTGCACCTCAGACTTGTGGTCATTTCTGAATTCTCGTCTGCTCTCAGTATAACTCCGTGCCGGCATTTCTTCCGGTGGAAGGGTCTGTTGAAAGTCTGCATTTTCCAGTTAGGTTACCTTAGTCAAATGGTGAAGGGTGAAATGACTTCCTGTTCTGTTTGTCATGCAAATGCAGCCGGTGTGACTCACTTGAAATGTCAGGAGGATTTTGTTATAAGCAAGCTGCTGCCTGTTTCCTCACCTTTGTGGGCTGGCTTGTTGGTTTCCCTTTGCATAATTTGTAATAAAATGGATAGGTCGAGCATCCTGGGCCAGCTTGGTGAAGCAAAATGAGCAATGTGCATCCTCTAAGCTCATTAGACGGCCTTACTGAAACACTGTGAATGGGAAATTGGATTTCCTCCTGTTCTTTTCTCACCTCAAAGTGCCTCTATCACCCTCCTCCTGTTCTTTCCTCATCTCAGTGTGCCCCTATCACCCTCCTCCTGTTCTTTCCTCATCTCAGTGTACCTCTATCACCCTCCTCCTGTTCTTTCTTCACATCAAAGTGCCTCTATCACCCTCCTCCTGTTCTTTCCTCATCTCTGTGTGCCCCTATCACCCTCCTCCTGTTCTTTCCTCATCTCAGTGTACCTCTATCACCCTCCTCCTGTTCTTTCTTCACATCAAAGTGCCTCTATCACCCTCCTCCTGCTCTTTCCTCATCTCTGTGTGCCTCTATCACCCTCCTCCTGTTCTTTTCTCACCTCTACCACCCTGGGAGGAAAGATACAGGTTGAGCTTATAGTCTTACAAATGCATGCTGTCTATTAACTATCGGAACCAGTGACATTGCCTAAGGTGATGTCTTCGGTCCACTTCTCTGAGGCGGAGGCTCATTGGCTTGTTCTTCTCCTAATTATGCCCTATGACCACAGGAGAAGCTAATAAAGCCAGAATAGTAATGGTGGTGTCTCTGCCAGGCGCAATTGTAACCATGGAAGTGTTTCTAGTGATATGTGACAAGAGATTTCCATAGTGTCGGACAGGGCTGGACACATCCCAAGAGCCAGGTAGCTGATGCTGCTGAAAAATGACAACTGGCACCTAACTTTGGAGGTTTTCTTTAGTTGTTGTGAATGGAGCTGACTTCTGGATTGGACAGCCTGGCTCCTGAACTCCATATTCATTTGTCCACCCCTAGTGTTGGTGACATATTGGTGGTCATATGTTTATGCATGTCACTTTTAAATGAACAGAGATCAATATCTGTATAAATATATTCCTTTTGAAGAAGCGGTCTCTGTTCCAAGGAACGTGTAGGGATTTTACAATAACCATCTTGCAAACTATTTTTTTTTTAGCTATAAATGTTTGCGGATTGTTACAGTAACTACATTTAGTCGTATGTTAATAAATATATATGTGTACAGGGGTGTGGACATTTTTTAAAAAACTACTTGTCCAAGGGCTAAAGCGGGGGCCAAATCTACTTGTCCTTCATGACAATCTACTTGT